AAACCCAAAACCCCTAAACCCCTATAAACCCTAAGTCCCTGCAGGTGGACCTGCTACGGGTGAGCGTCCTGGGCCGGGAATACCAAGCCTTGCTTTCTGCAGAAGCCCTCCTGGCTGCTGGAAAGGCACACGACTGGGTTTAGGGTTTATAGGGTTTATAGGGGTTTAGGGGTTTAGGGTTTATAGGGTTTATAGGGTTTGGGGGTTTAGAGTTTAGGGTAGGGTTTAGGGTTTAGGGTTTAGGGGTTTAGGGTTTAGGGTTTAGGGGTTCGCTCAAAGGATCACGGGATTTTAGGGATTTTGGTGAGGGCGGGCATAAGCAAGGCAAGAAGAACCCCGATTAGGGCACTTGACGTGGGGTTCCCCTCACCCCACACGGTTTCCCCTGGTCTTCAGCCTTTGGGTTTGGGGATTCCAGTTCTTGGTGGGTTTCGTGCTTTGGGTGCCGAGGGCTTCCGGGCTTCACCGTTTTTGGGGGCGCATTCAGAAGTTCAGGTGGGATGTGGCAGTTGCAGCATTTTGGCAGGTGCAGCACTCAACCCCTATACTAGAGCTGGGAATCGTTACCCGCAGGCCCCAATCCCTAAGACCTAAGACCACTTACCCTCGTCTCCAAAAGCTCTGACTTTTTCCCCGACGCCCACAAAGCCGTCAACTCGATTTTGGGTTTCGGATGGGTGCGTTAGGCGACACCGGCTTGCCTTGAATCCCAAGACATGCCTGGAGGCTCAACCCCAAAATTGTAGCTTCAAGCCCCACCTGGCAGGTGAAGACATTGGCAATCTCAGTACTGAAATGCACGGAGAATAAATTGGAATTGGCACCCCGGCCCGCCAACTTCGGCAACTTCCGTTTTTTTGGACATTCCTTTTCTTTTTTTTTTTCAGGTTCAGGGTTGCGTTTAAGTTTTAGTTTTCGGGTCCAGGGTTGAGGGACTTCGGGTTTGGGCTTTGGAACCCAAGCCGCACCCTAAACCACAGGGTTTCCCGGCTCGGGGGGTTTTGAAGGAGTACACTTCAGAATCTAGGACTTGATTTAGGGTCAAAGGTAGGGTTTAGGGTTTGGCATTCTAGGAGTACACTTCAGAATCTAGGACTTGATTTAGGGTTAGAGGTAGGGTTTAGGGTTTGGCATTCTCTCCTTAACTTAACTCCCTCCCCCAAGGTTTTCAGCAAGCTACACCCACACAGTGTCGGAGTTTCGACAAAAAGGCAACCGGAACATAGGCAAAACATACCAGGCCAATGCATGTAAGGAATCCAACCTACCTGTAATACAAGCAACCTGCCAGCCGGAACAGAGCCAAATACTCATGCGTTGTCATGAGGCTACGATGCTACGCCGCGACTTGTTTCAAATATATGAGGATGTCCCTAGACGATACACCTTACATCCAGGGGGGCGCAGGCTCTGGTGATGGAGTCGAACCCGATCCCGGGCACAGAGCGAGGTGTGCGACTAGATTCTTGGTGCTCAGGCCATGGGTACAGATTATCCTTCATCGGCTTGGAAGATGAAGATGTGCTGGCTGTCATGGCGGATGTAGATCTTATCCCTGAAGGCCGGAGTCTGCGTTCGGAGTTGATCCGGTGATGCACCTGGACGTAATGACCTGCCTGGACGCATCTTGTGGCAAGCAGCACAGGTGACTCCTCCTAGGATGCATGTGATATTTCCCCAGCGAACCAGGCTTGTCCACCAGTCTCTGACGACTACGAAGCATGTACGATGCATGCCTTCTTGGGGTTGAAGGTTGAGGGGCCCTGGCAGGTACCTTGACGCTGGTTGCCCAATATGCTGGGTGATGCTGCTCTGGTAGTGCTCAGAGAAAACCCCCCAGATTCCAGTGCGCTGTGGTCGTCTGCATTGGGGTTGCTCTTGGTCGTCGTACTATATAGTACCAGTACTAGTACTACGGTGGATGGAGGCACCACCTACATACACTGGTTCGGGTACACATCCCAGCAACAACCCCGCAGCCCTTTTTTGACATTGACGACAGATCTATTGGGGCGGTGCAACTTCTCAAGCAAGCAGTGCAGTCAGCAAGTAAATACGCATGGGGGAGCAACGGCAGCAACGCTAAGAGCAATGCAATTAACGACACGAGCACCAACCGGAACAGCAAGAACTGTTACCACAGCAGAACAATGACAGCCATCGCCACCACAAGCACGCCAACGTCAACCCAATCACGACAAACAGCAGAAGCAGCAACTGCCACGGCAACATCGACAGCATGTCCAGCAGAAGGAACAACATAAGGAACGAAGACAATACCAGTGATGCCACAATCAACGTCAAGAAGGAGCTGCAAATGTCCTTTTGCTGTGTTCGTAACAGGAGCAGTCGTCGTAGTCACACGAAAGTTTGTTCGATTGCCAGACACTGGCGTCAGGATCGTATGCAAGCAGGAGGTGCTCACAGATCAGTACCCTCAAAACTGCCTGAGCCCGAAACTCTAAGCCAGCAACCCTAAACCCTAAACCCTCTAAACCCTAAACCCTGTAAACCCTAAACCCTAAACCCTAAACCCTAAACCGTAAACCCTCGACCCCTGAAGCCCGAAAATCCTCAACTCTACGGCCTTAACCCAAAAGCCCTACACTCTCAAACCCTACAGGATTCCACAGCAACCCTCAAGCCCCCAAACATCATGAAGCCAGAAACTATATGTTGTATAATATACATATATATATATGTATGTATATCATAAAATATAGAGTCTAAGATAAAGTATGTATAGCCCGTACCATGTACCAGTATGTCGGACTTTTGAGTTTGGGTTTGTGGTTTCGGGTTTGTAGGGTTGGTGTAGGATGTCAGTTTCAATTCACTCAAGCACATGTATCCCTCAGTCGTATTTAAATCTTAGCCGTAAACGCCACCCTCAACCCTAAACCCTAAACCCTAAGCGTGCCATGGTGATTGGGACTCGTGCTGGCGTCGGTGGGGTTCAGCCCTGGGCAGCAGAGGCCGTGCACCTTTGGTCGTAGTCGGCACAATTTGCCAATACTGCTTGGGCTTGCTCGCTGTAGGTGATTATAGTAGGAAAAATTACCCCAAAACCTTACACTCATTAAGGCCGATGTGGTTCTGTGGACTGCTGGCCCTCGTGCCATATAGGGGCATCAATAATAAGAGGGTTTAGCGTATGCTATAATCTACTTGCTCATATTAAGGAGCCTAAAGGAGTAGTTGTACGACTCAATCAGGCCCGTAATTTCATGCTGTTCTTGTTCCTCCTTTTCGCTTTAAGCACAATATTCGGGCCTTGCTGTGTTCATCCCTACTGTTGCTACTACCATTGCAACTGATATTGCAGTGGCTACCCTCGCCCACGTGTTTATGCCTGTTTCTTCGTGAACAGCCTCCATATATCTGTATGTGTGTGTATGTATATATATATATGTATACATACACACGCAGACACACATATACAAAGGCTGTTATCAGCATTGCTAATTGCTCGTTGTAGTAGTGATCGTACACGGTTAAAAGTTTGAGGTTCAGGGATCATGTCTTGCGCAACTTCTGCTATTGAGTCATGTCTACTTGCACTTGGCGGCACCCAGCGGTTCCCAAGTCAACGCCGGTTGCGTGAGTCCGCGCCTTGGCTCTCAAGCTCGCGGTGCCTTGTCGGACGTTCCCGCGGGCGGCGTGCCTTTTCTGGAGAGCCTCGATGCGTTTCTTCCAACGCCGTCGAGAAAAGGATGCCGACTGGTTGCAACAGATGGAGGGAAACTGGTCTGACAGACATGGCTCCTGTTACGAGGCTGGGTGGCAGACAAAAATGATACCAGATTCAACATGCAATTCTTGAGAGTCTTTGAAGCTTCCAAGACCCTAAACCCTAAACCCGAAAGAGTCTTGGCCTGGGGCATGACATGGTGCAAGGTCTTCCGGGATGCCGCGTACAAAGGCACTTCGTACTCCTGCAGCGTGCGAATCCAACGCCCCAGCGGCGAGGCATTTTCAAGACCAGCCGTCATCAAGCAGGTGGAAGATGGTACCATAATCTGGGGTCGGCAGCTTACTTGCTGCTATCATCTGGACATGGAAACGAGCCAGAAGAGTTTTATTGGGTTCCTGCAAGGTTGGTACAGGTGTCTTGTAGGGTCTCTCAAAGTTGATTGGGGTTCATAGGGGGTCTTAATGGTTTAGTTCACGTAGACCCTGAGCTCAAGGATGAACCAGAGGGGACACTGCATGTCTGAAGCCGACATGAAGTGCAAGCAGGGGGTGCGGATGAAACATGTGGGCTTCGGGCAGGGCTCTCGAAAAAGATGAGATAGAAGCCTACTGCTGTCAAGGTCAAAAATACATCCTGGATGAGACACACTCAACCCAGGATTCGTTAAGCTGGCTCCTGCGAAAGCATCAGCAACCTTTTTGTTGTTAAGCAGCTCTGGATTTTTCAGGGTTCAGGGCTTTACTGGTAGAGTCTACCTGTGGCCCAAAAGACCTACCTTTTTAAGGAACTATATATAGAAACCATAATAAGGAACCCCCAGAAAGGTAGGTCTTTTTCGAGTCTAGGCTGAAGGACTTTGGAATCTGGCTCTAAACCCTAAACCCTAAACCCTAAACCCTAAAACCCCTAAACCCTAAACCCCTAAACCCTAAGCCCTAAACCCCCAAAAAAAGAACCCTAAACCCTAAGCTCTTGGGGTTCTGGAGATCACCGGGCCCCCACGGGTGCGAGCCCCTAAACCTAGGCCTATCAACAGGCGTTAGCTGCCCTGCAGCGAAGGTAGCCTAAACCCTAAACCTACTGAATCCTAAACTCTAAACCTATTAAATCCTAAACCAGTTAAATCCTAAACTCTAAACCCTAAGCCCTAAACCTATTAAATCCTTAAACTCTAAACCCTAAAAATTTGTTTAAATCCTAAGCTCTAAGCCCCTGGGCCCCAAACGTCTCCTTGATCGGCTCAGGAACCAAATTGCGAGGGTCGAGGCCTCAAGCCCCGAAACCCACAAGGGTTTAGGGTTTTAGGGTTTTCGGGTTTTAGGGTTTAGGGTTTTCGGGTTTTCGGGTTTTCGGGTTTTAGGGTTTAGGGTTTTAGGGTTTTAGGGTTATCCCTCACCACCCCTTTAAGTCCTTAAGATATCACAAGCACAGACCCTAAACCCTAAACCCTAAACCACAGACCCAGGAAGAATCTGCGAGGGTATTCTGGCTTCTCCTGGCAGCGAATGAAGTCGCGGGCCTCAGCACCCAAAGCTGCAGAGGTCCAAGGCGGAGAAGGCTTCGACCGATCAGGGTTTGGCTTTGGAGTGTGGGGTTTTAGGGCTTTAGGGTTTAGGCTTTGTGTTTTAGATTTCAGGGTTCAGGGTTTTGGGTTTTAAGGGTTTAAGGCCTCGGGTTTCCGGATTTAAGATTTAAGGTGTAAGTAAGGTTTAGGGTCTACGGCCTCTTTGGGATCCAGCCTTGAGAGTCTCTCCTTGATATGATGTGGCCTAGTCCGTAGTTTCAGTAGTTGTTGGAGTAGTAGGCTTTGAGGTGGAAAGGGACTTTCAGCTTTAGGGGATTCTGGTGAGGGGCTTGTAAGGTTATAACTCGGATGTGTAGGAGTTTGTTTGCAAAGAGCTCGTAGGGTTGCAATTTTGTTGTGTAGGGCAGGGGTCTTATAAGCGCTATGTAGTGTTGCACTTTGGTTGTACAGCGCATGGGCCATGGAAGTGTGGGAAGGTTGCAATTGGGTTGTATAAGGCTTCGTACGGTTTGGATGGTTATGGATCCGTTGTGCAGGGTTTTGCACGGCTTCTGTAAAGTTACAGTTTTGTCGCACAAGGCTTTATGAGGGTTTTGTAAGGTTGTGACTGGGTTGTATAAGGGTTTACACCTTACACCAGAGTTGTGTAGGGTTTGAAAGGAGCTCAAGCGGAATGGATGTCAGCAAGAGGTTCATAACATTTATAGGGCTATCCAAAATGATAGGGCTGATAGGGGTTAGAGCGCCCTTTGAGTGTGTTTTGGCTCTGGGGGTTTGGGATGCATGGCAGTTTCGGTGTTATACTCAGGGCTGAAGCTCTTGGGGCTCTCGGACCCCAAAAAATCAAGTCGGAGCCGACATGCACCCCTAAGCCCAGATCCATTCCCGAGTTTTGATACCAAGTCTTAAAAGCCCCCAAATCTTAACCCCGCCAACGCCTCAGACTGCCGCGTCCACCCTGCGCCACCTCCCCCGCCGCCACCGGCAGAGAAGCCACAGGTGCAGAGAAACACTTCCGGTCTTTTTTTCATATTTGTGGAGCAGTGCGCCAAAACACGGATTAATATGAGGATCTCACAACTAACGCGTTAAGTGTGAAGTCTGTTAAGTGTTACATACTGTTACATGTTTACATGTAAGCTTTTCTGCTAGCCATGATAGCGACGGTGATGCTGACACGGTGACGATGCTGATGGTTATGGCTTAGCAGTGAGCCCCCTGAGGACACAGGGCACAAGGACCCTGCTTCCAGACTCGGCTGGACCCCAACGGTTTGGACGATGAGGACTCTGCCCAAACAGGCAGGGAAATTCAGGAAAAGCTTCGGGTCGGAGGGTATTCGTCTCAGCCTTGATGCAGGGAGGAGAGCCATGGTATTTTGGAAGTCACGAAGCATTCGTGGTAGTCGTCGGTCGTGGGAAGGTACTTCTAGGAAAGATCATCTGCAGCAACCTGACCCTATCATCATGCTCATCGTTCCTTTTCCCTGTCCCGCAGCGCACTTAAACCAAGAAGCCTCTGAGGCGGAGAAAGAGGAGAAGAAGAAGGAGGAGACGGAGGAGAAGGAGAAGGCGAAGGAGGAGAAGGAGGAGGACCAGGATCTGTACGCCGAGGCTGCGACAGAGGACACTTCTGAGCCTTCTGCAGACGCAGAGGCGAAGCAGGTGGCAACGACTGCAGCTTGACCCGAAGTTTGGAGAGGCTCTGCACGGCAACCCTCTTAGGACTGCTTTGCTGTTCCTTCTATGTTGGGCCACAGCGAGACGACTAAAGTATGATATAGTGATACAGTGGTAAGAGCAGCAATAACCACAGCACCTGATCGTCATTCGTGCACATTAGGAGCAATCCCAAAGTAGTACTACGAATCACACAATCCTTCCTAAGGCATCTATGGCTTCTGTCAACTGTCTGCGAACGAAGCACTGGCCTTGAACCCTAAACCCCAAACCCTAAACCGTCAAGGACCAGAGCAGTTTGGAGATAGACGATTCTGGAGATCCTGCAAAAGTAGAAGATGCCTGGGAAGGTTCGCATGCCGCGCACATCCCCAACAAGCTTCTGGGCTGGTGTAGACTACGACTCCCACTCCTATTCCTACTCCTGCAACTCATGCTTGTTCATCTACTACTACTGCTGCTGCTACTACTACTACTACTACTATCGATGAACCAGGCATTGGAACAATCGCGCTCGAGTTGCCTGGGATGCGAGTGATACTGCAGAGGACGACCAGGCATATGAATCGAGCCTTGGTACGCTCCCGCGGACGACAGGACTTTAGTAAACAGCTTTAGCTTTTGGTTCCGCACTTGTGCTAAACACCCTGCACTTGAGAGCTAATTGCGGGTTCAGCAAATCGGTCTAGTTCACGATCACGTCCTACGTTTTGATTCGTACATGCACGTTTGCAAACGTGCATGCTGCATGCATCATCTGGACTGGAAAAATGCAGCATTTACATTGTGCAGGGCCGGGAAATTTACAAAACAGAACTCCACCTGGATATCCTGAACATCCCAACCAACTCCGACGATTAGTTGTGGACACCCAAACGCCCAACCCAAGGCTTCACGACCATGAACCCCCAAATCACAGAATCCCATAAGCCCTGAAACCTAAACCCGAAAGCCCTCCGATGCCCCACGAACACTATAAAGCCTTTCGATATAACCTTGTGACACCCTTGCCAAACCCTCTGAGACCCTTTACACAGCCTTATAACATCCTGTGGAGATTTTTGCAAAAGCTTGTTTTAAGTCTTGCAGAAACCCTAGACCCTAAACCCTACACCCTAAACCCTAAACCCCTAAACCCTAAACCCTACTTTCCATGGCATGAAAGGAAGATTTTTACCTGGAGAAGCAGAACGTCGGGCCTGGGTCCCGAGCAAAGCTGGGAGTGCGATTAGGGTTTAGGGTTCAGGATTTAGGGTTTGGGGTTTAGGGTTTAGGGTTTGGGGTTAGCTGTGTTCAAGGGATTAAGGGTCGTGGGGGTTGGGGTTTCGGGGTTTCTTTAGGGTGGACTAAACGTGTTGCGTAAGGCGTAAGGCTTTGAAGATATATGCTTTAATGGGCTTTGTAGGGGTCCTAGCAGGGCTTGGTACGGGGCTTCAATGGGAACGTACAAGAGTTGGGCTTTGGGAAATCTTCATTTTGATTGAACGTGGGCGTAAAACGAGGGTTTGAGATAGCTAAAGTAGACAGTGTCTGGGAGTATGCGCGTAACTTTATAGTGCCTTAATGAGCCATAAGTCCATAAGAACAAAAAGCATCGCTGATTTCTAGAGACACCTCTATAAACCCTGAATCCTGATCACTTGCTAGAAACCCTAAAGCTTTGAAGGAAGGAGGTTTCAGGATAGTATCGGAACGTGCAAGATTCAATCCCTTGATTTCAAGAAGTCTTCCTTTCCCCCCCCGAATATCCATAAGCTTTGACCTCCAACGGGTGTTGGCTCCTTTGTAGCAGCTTCGGTGTCTCAGTCCCGTGTCTAAGAAAATGAAGCCTCTGTAATCGCAAAGCAAGCCTCGAATCCTACGCCCTTTATCCGTTTTGGTGGTTCTGACATCTGACTTCAGTGATTCAGGCTGCGGGGTTGGCATTTTAGCCGAATCTCCCTGCATCGAGAACACTGAGCCGCTGATTCTATCGCCCTAAACGCTACACCCTGGCCCCAGGCCCGCGTCTAGATCTTCAGCCCTGAATCCTAAAACCCGTAAACCGTAACCTGACACCGTCATAGAGTCTGTTCTGCACGCCTACAGAACCCGCACAAAACTCCTTAAAGCGACCGTCTAAAGCCTTATGCAGCCCTTAAAGAGGCCCATCGGAATCAAAGCCTGATAATACCCTGAAAGACTATAAAACCTCTTACAACACCCACAAGCTGTTATAAACCCTTATGACACCCTGACAAGAACCGCATAAAACGCGTTACAGCACCCGTATCATCTACGAAGTCCCAGAGCAAAGGTCAGAGTCACCCGCAACCTGCCGAGAGCAAGCCGCAACCCTGGCAGCAGCTGACGGCTTGGGTTCTAAAGGGCGAAGCCTGGAACACTGGATACTCAAAGCAGCAGCAGCTTCAGGAGAAAGACGCGGAGCAGTTGTAGTGGTAGTTTGTAGTAGTAGTAGTCGTCGTCGT